AATGTTAGCTCCACATGTTTTATATGCACAATATAGCTCGAGCAATGCTTAATCTACACAATCAAGTGACAGTCATCAATTATCACTCCGATTAACTCTAAATTCACTAGGTTTTAAGTGCTTATAACACCCAATTTCCTCTTTCTTACAACATCAACTATACTCGAACACTCTAACCATCCTATTAAACATCCCAACACACCAAAATTGCTAATCAATGTTTCACATTATCTCAAGATCCTTAAATTATGCCTAAGGTTCGTCCAAACCCTTACCAAAAATTCTCAATCACCACAAAACTCATAAACTTAGGGTTAAAAATTTATTTAACTTTCTAAGATCTTAAATAAACCAATAGGTTCAGTCTAAACCCAAGAGAATCAAAATCAAAGCCCCCATTACCTCAAATGTTTAGATTTTCACATAAAAGAGGGAGAAGAGGGAATGTGCAACTTAGCCAATAGTGATTCAAGCTCCAAATGCCCTTAAAGTAGCCTAAGAATTGTGCCCTAGTAGACCACAGGCTCTCCTCCGTCGCTCTCTTGTTATCCCTCTTTCTCTCTTCTATTTTCGGTCTGTTTTCACAAACTGATAAGTGTTGATTTTGCACGTGCGCCGCAACAAATTGGCACGCCCGCCGCTACGCATGGCACAGAAAGCACTAAAATTTAAACTCCCTTTCGTACCATGGCTCGATCAAAAATTGACCTAGCCCCTTTCTAAGGCTGTCTAAAGATCTAAAAACTATATTAGTTTCCCATAAATCTCGTTAAATCAATAATTTATTTAAGTTGACCAAATTACTCTTAGTTTTCAATTGAGAAACTTAATGTGTTATACAAAACCACTATAAAGTCCTTTAAATTAATGAAAATACATTGCAGTCCCATATCCTTTAATTATAAATAGATTTTGATATACAAAATACCCTCAACTTTTTTTTTAAAATATCCCTCCTTTCACCTTTGGTGGTCCCAGCTTGAATTCGGTAGTCAAAGTTAATGAAGTTGTAATTCTTATAGGATAGTTATAACTTGAATACAAAAAAGTATAAACTTACGATTACATCATAGCAAGTTCATAAGTGCAGTCATGATCACTTTTTTGGAAGTTACAACTTCATTATAAAAATTAACCATCCTCCTCAAATCAACAGCTTCCTTTAAATGGTTTTAAGATTATATAATACTGCCTCTGGTGGTCTAGTTCTATTTATAAATTAGTTCCATTATATTTCACTAAAACCCAAAAAAAATCTTAAAGTTCATTAATTCTATATTAAAATTTAATAAGTTTTCATCTCTATACTTAGTAAGGGCAAAAAAAATATATGTAATAAGATTAGAAATGTAAAGATGAGTGTATAAAAAAAAAGTAAAGTATCTTATAAATAAGATCAAAATTAATTTTTACTTTTTACCTTATAAATAAGATCAAAGGAGTAATTTGAATTTTCTATTTAGCGTACTAAAAGGCCCAATGGCTACAAATGTTGATAACCAAGAGTTCTAAGATTTAATTCCCACCAAAGCCAGTTTGCTAAGTGATGGCTTCAGTAGGGAATTTTTGTTATATAAAAATTGACGATATCTTGATAAATATACATAAAAAAAATTAAATTATAAAAAAAATATGGAACTGCATTGTATTTTCATGATCACAATGGACTTTAAGATAATTTATGGTGTTTTGTGAGATTTGAGAGTAACTTTTTCTATATGTAATTATAACAAAATTCAGAAAATTATGTAATGTGTTGTTAATTACTTTAATGCCTCTTCAAGGTGACGCAATAACCCGAAGCACTCAATCCATGAAATGATTAAATTTCTCGAGTTCGTTTATGAAATTGAGTAACTCATCATGACCACTTTATCGTCAAATCGTCATCAACCCTAGTTCAGCAATAACATGCATTAGTTTACTTTCATTACATTACAAATTTGCTGGCTCTGTTGAATTTTGATTATAATAATCCTACAAGAGCATTCGAGCTGAAAGAGTTTCAGTGACTTTGAAAGTATCAATGAAAGGCTTAGTTTCTATCCACTGTACTTCTATTGCATGTTGAGAAATGGAGAGTAACAAATAAATACTCATTTAGTCCTCTTTATAAATCATTTCTAGCAACTTCATTAATATCAATATAAAAAAATATAAAAAATAAAAGCATGTAGAATTTCAAATATGTTCTTTTATAATAATCTAAGAAGTAATGTTATATTACTTTTTCTCTCTTATGAAGGATAATTTAAAAATAGCTTTTACATATTATGTAAAAAAACCATACTGTAATTTATAAATGAAATCAAATATACTTTCTAGAATGTACTTTATGAATGAGACTGGAGGGAGTACCACTCAAATATACAAATCACAAGAGAATAGCACTAAAAATATTGTACTTTATAAATGGAACCAGAGTACCACTCAAATATACAAATCACAAGAGAACAGCACATAAAATAATGAAGCCTTTAGGGACTCATCGAACATAATATTTTTTGCAAAATTACACTGCTGATCCTCTGTAAAATAATAGAAAATATAATTGTTAAAACTTAAATTGATATTATTAATAATGAAGGTAAAGTTGTTAGTATCAAAAAGGCCTAAAGTTGTTAGTATCAAAAAAGCCTAAAGTATATCTTTAACTTTACACAATGTTTCATTTAGACTTTATAATTTTATGAATTATTTTTTTAGTCTTTTAATGCTAACACCATTAGTTTTATCATGAAAAAAATTACATTAAATTTTAAAATATTGATAAAACATTCTCAAATGTTATATATTAATTTTTATTTTTTAAAAAATAATAATAATTGACATAAAAAATAATCATTTAAAACTAACGGTATTTGAGATAGGAGAATAAAAAAATATTTTATAAAATTAAAGAACTACATTAAAATATTATGTAAAGTTAAGGGATTAAAAGTGTATTTTAACCATATTAAAAGTATAGTTATTGTTACTTTAACTAAAGTGAAATTATAGCAAACTATATTATTATTCTCTCTGTTAAAAAATATAAGATATTTTTAATGAATCACACGTATAATAAATTAGTTAACTATTTTTGAACTGAAACAATATTTTCATATTTATTCTTATGTAATAGAATATTTTACTTAAAAATAAATATAAAGTAATTTATTATTAAATTTATTTTTCAAAAAACATATTAATTATACTTTGAAACACCAAACAATTTACATTTTTAACATCTAAACTCTAAAAATATATATTATATTTTTAATAGAGGGAGTAATACCTAAACCAAAATTGTTAGTCAGTGAGCTGAACTTGTTAAGATAGAATTCGTACTTATTATCACATAACTAAATTAATAATTGCACTTCTTGTATCAACAACTTCAGTTTAAATTTTAACAACTATACTTTCAATTATTTTGTAAAAAGTCTAAAAATATAATTTCACAAAAAAATTATGTCAGATAAATATTTAGGAATTTCAAAATAATTATTTGAATTCGTAATATTCTCTTATTTAATAAAAATCGCATTATAGCTGGTCAAAAAAAGAATAAAAATCGCGTTATAAATATTGCAATAAGGAAAGTGACCAAAGAAGTACACCAACCCCCAAAGAAAAGTCACTGGACTTACCTTTTCCTCAATATGCCTAATCCTTGAGCTGCAAGATACAAGATATGCAGTGTGGTGGACCACACCTTGATCCACTATAAGCATATAATTTCAACATTTTCTTACTAAAAGAAATTATTAAAAGTAAAACAACCTGCTTGCTTGCTTCGATTTTCAAAATACCTTTTACACAATCTCAATCGTTTGAAGGTCCCATAAGTATCAAGTTGGTAACCCCTTTCTTTTCTGTCAGGTCAGGTTTTGTATTTATATTATATATTGATATCGAAGAACACTTATATATATATATATATATATATATTATGTATGGCTAATATTATGGCTTACATTTTCAATGTTAAATTCTTTTTTTCCCCAAAGCTCCTTTGATATATTATTCCCCGGTTGGAAAATAGAAAAGATTCATAGTTCTATGAAAAACTCAACTTCATTGGCATGAGAAAATTTATTTTTAAAATCAAGTTTTTTTAGTTTGACCAAAATTTAAGTTTGTTTAGAAATTATTCAATAATATAATTCTTATTAAGTAGGAGAGAATATTCAAGGGCAAAAAATTGTGAGTATACTTATATAGGAATATTTTGGGGGCACGAGTATATTATAGGATTTATATCTGTATATTATATGCCATATATATTCTATGCACATGAAACTCGGTCATCAAAAGTATGAAACACATAGGATTAGCCAAGTCATGGTATTGGTGGCAGGAGCAAATCTTCTAAAGTTAATATTCATAATTTTTTCTGAAATTTTCTTTTTTGATATTTTTTCTTATTTTATTCTTTTTTATAAAACAGGAAACTTCTCTCTCATTTTCTAAGAACGTAAACTTTATAAAATTCATATATTTTCAACTTCAAACAATCTATTATCAACTCTTGATACATATAATAAAAAATATTTAAATTCTCTGAAATTAAGACTTGTTGAATTTATGTAAAATTTTTATTTTTAAAAAAGAGAGAAATTTTTTTATATTTTATAAAAATTAATAAAATGAGCAAAAATACTAAAAATATAAAATTTTACATAAATCCACCAATCTCTTCTGAGGATTTTAATCCAATAAAAAAGGTATTATTTAGGCAGAATTTTCATATTTTATTTGGTTACAATTTTCAAAAGTTTAGTTGTTAACAAAATACAATAATACTGGGTAATTCATGTAACTGACTGTAACTAATGAGATAAGGTTTGTTAATGTTGTTTTTGCTATGTCTCTAAAGTGGAAAAAATCCAAGTCAGTGTCACGAGTATGACGCGAATATGAAATGTGACAGATCATTTTCTTAACAAATCTTAGTTAAGCCCTCCTCTTTCCATGTCTGTTTATTAAAGCTTTCGCTCTTCCTTTATTAATACCCTCACACATACCTCACAATCACGCCTTCTTCCTTTTTTCACAACTCAAACACTATCGTCGTCATCTCCAATAATGGAACCAACAAAAGCCCTAATGGCTTCCTTCCTCCTTCTGTTTTTCTTCTTCAATATCCATCCTTCTGCTCAGAATCCGCCGCCTTCCACCGTCTCCGGCCACCGCCATCACCAAGCATTGCGCAGACTCCAAGCTCTCAAAGCTTCTCACGTCAGATTCAGCGCCTCCGGTGCTTCATCACCGTCTCCTTCTCCGTCACCTTCACGGCCACCACCGGTAACTGACTAGCTATATATATATATATGACTCTCTCATACAATGTGATAACACTAAAACAATTTATTTTGGCTTGCGTTGATGTGAAGTCGGGTTCGAGCGGTTCACGGGTATACCTTGCGACGTCGTACGGGGCGGATCCGACGGGGAAGTTGGATAGTACAGAAGCTCTTCTTGCGGCGATAGCGGATGCGGCTAATGGTCACGGTGAAGGGTTCTTGATGGACGGCATTTCTAATCTTGGAGGAGCACAGCTTGATCTTCAGGGCGGCAATTACTTGATCAGCCGGCCACTCCGGCTGCCAGTCGCTGGCGTCGGAAACTTCATGGTACGTTATTCTTCTTCTTCGTTTCATTCCTTTTACAGCTCATAATTTAGCAAGCAACTTGAGAATTAAAAAAGAAATTTACATTCAATGACAAAATTGATAAAAATTTCGAATGAATTCTCTGAAAAATGAGTTTTATGAAATGAAAGAGGAGAAAAATTATGTTTTGCAAAAAAAAAAAATGATGAGCGAAAATGTCAAAAAAGAAAAAGTTTATATAAATATATGAATGAGGACTGCAAGAGTTTAATAATTAAATAATTTTAAAAAGTAATTACTTTGAAAGATTAAAATTAATACCCTATTTTACATACTTATAAACAATAATTATGATTTATATTTTTACCAAAAGTTTGGGTATTTAGGTGTAATTTTATTTTAGACACAAACATATTTCCCGGCTTTTAATAAAAAAACTTGAAGAGTGGTTGTAATATTTAGAAGCAGAAACATGAGGTATCGCACCTTCATGCGTTACTTTCTTGAAAAATGTACTTGCAAAGTCAGAACATGGTGCCACGTGGCATTGGTTGGTAAGACTGTGATGGAGAATCCAATATCGGCTTTGCGACGGAGGTGGCCTCTGCTCTGCATTTAGTGTAGTTTAGAGGTAATGGTGCAACGGTTGGTCTAACCTCTTCTTCAATATTGGAGCTGAATTAATGACTTTTCTCTTTTTGGGTTATTCTTTCTTTTTCTTCTGCTAGTTGTCTTTTTTTCCCCTCAAAAAACCAAACTATCAAATAAAAGTCTACTTTGGGTTTTGGCCGCTTGGGGCCGTTTCAAAAGATACAGCATACGGTTTCAGAAAGTCATCAAGAAAAAAATATGCTCCCTCTTTTTTCTTTCTCCAAAGAACAATTTATTTATTAGTTTATCTTTTAACTCCACATGATAATTGATACATCGTGCCTATTCTACTTTTATACTTCCTTTTGTTTTAATTATAGACAAAATTTTAAATTTCTACCCAGCACTAAATAGAGGGTAATGATGTGGTAGTTAATTTTTTCCAACCTTGCATCTCTTTCATTACATCTACTAAATGTTATAATCATTAATTTTATTAAAGGTCAAAAATCTATATATTTTTCTAAACATTTAAGGTATTAAATAACACTTCTTAGAATTGTAAAAGAAGGTAATTGTCCTGTAATTAGGACAGAAAGGAATACTCTTTTTAATTATGTTATAAGTTACATCTAAATTTTAATCCAATCATTTGAATGTGTGTGTGTGTGTGTTAATAAAGTGTGTTAAAATTCAACATTGGTTGATTGAGGAAAAATGATTTGATTTTCTTTAAGTAAAGCTGAGGGTTCGACACAATAATATTAGATATCAGATAATAATTATCAATTAGTTTTGTGGAAATTAATTCATAGTCTTGAAATTAAAAAAAAAAAATCAGTTTTCTCAAATTTACCTTGTATAAGAGAATGATGTGGATACCTAGCATGGCTTATATATATATATATATATATATATAGTTTTTATATTAATACCTAAACATAGACTTGGCCTGCTGCATTTGGTGAAAACAGATTCACGGTGGGACGATACGAGCCTCAGATAGCTTTCCATCAGGTGGGTACCTCATTGATTTATCAACCAACATAAATGACAAGACTGCCCCTCCTTCATCCTACAATTACGAGTTCCTCACCTTCAAGGACCTCCTCTTGGATTCAAACTTCCATGGCGGAGGCATCTTCGTCATCAACTCTCTCAGAATCGGTATCGACAACTGCTACGTCACTCATTTCACCACCAACGGAATCCTCGTCCAGGGCGGCCACGAAACTTACATCAGAAACTCCTTCATCGGACAGCACATCACAGCCGGCGGCGACAAAGGGGAGAGGAACTTCACCGGCATCGGAATCAACCTCCAGGGGAACGACAACTCCGTCACCGACGTCGTCATCTTCTCCGCCGCCATAGGAATCATGATCTTTGGCCAGGCCAACATAATCTCCGGCGTACATTGCTATAACAAAGCCACCGGCTTCGGAGGCACCGGGATTTATCTGAAACTCGCCGGGTTGACGCAAACTAGGGTTTTGAACTCCTACATGGATTACACCAGTATTGTTGCAGAAGACCCAGTTCAGCTTCATATTTCTGGTACTTTCTTCCTCGGAGATGCCAACGTTGTGCTCAAATCAATCAACGGAGTTGTCAGTGGAGTGAATATCGTTGACAACATGTTTTCTGGGTCTGACCACGGGGTTGAGATTGTTCATCTGGATCAATCGGGTGGTAAAAATTTTAAGCAAGTCGATCAGGTTGTGGTGGACAGCAACGTTGTGGAGGGGATGAAGTTGAAGAGTACTGTGGCAAAGAAGGCTGTGCAAGGGAATGGGACTTCATTAATGGCGGATTTCAATGATGTTTTGCTTTTTCCGAACCTTATCAAACATGTCCAGTATTCTTTGAGCTTCGACGGCGACACTTTTCCGAGCCATGTTCTGAGGAACGTGTCTGATAATCGTGTCGTGATTCAAACAAGTGAAGCAGTGCCTGCTAGTTTATATGTCGCAGTGGATCAAGGTATATAATTATTGAAGTTCGAAGATGATGATGAGGGAACTGTGCATATATATCCAGAGTCCTTTATTAATTGCCTTTTTTTTTTTTGAATGAATTAATTTAATCATCTTAATTGGCTAGTAAAATTCAGCCAAGACTGAATCAATTTGGAAATGTAAGCAACAGCTCTTGTACTTCTTCAAATTTCTACACGTACTCAGTCCATTACTCGTAACATAAGGTAAAATTATCGAACTTCATGTTTGTTAAGAAATGTTATGTGTATCTTTAAAGTTGTTTAAAAAAATATGTAACTTTTGAATTTTATTATTCTTTATAATTAATAACCACGACAATGTAGAAATTCAAAATATAAAAAATAAATAAGGGCAAAATTTGAAAATAAATTAATTACTCTAATTTTGTCTTATATTAATGTCAATAATTTAACTACTTTTTACTGTTTATGACGAGATAGATAGTACTTTATCTTATCTTATTTATAGAATAGAAAAAAAATTTTTAATTTTATTTATAAGTCATCTCATTACATTTTTATTGTAAATTTTTTTATTTGACCTTCATTAAATGTTGAAGAAAGAAAATATATTATTAAATTTTGTATATTTAATAGGAACAAAGTTAAAAAATTATTAATTTTTGGACATAACTAATGAATTTTATGATTTTTTAATTATGATAAAATATGTTAAAAATATTTTATAAATAAGACTATAGTAGTAACTTATATATAGGAACGTAGTATTAAATATCATAATTTCTTTGTGGGAGGTTCCCACCATATAGGGGGAGGGGATCATCATCAACCGCAATTAATTACGCTTTTAAGTTTGAAGTTTTCATTATCTGTGATCAATATTATTTTATTTAATTAATTAATCAGCTTGTACTGAGACCTAGTTGGACCTAACCTAATTCAATAAAGAAAACAAATTAATGAAAAAAATACTGCAGATCAGTCAGCACGGTTTCGGTATCAACCGAACAACAAAAAGTTTTATATACTCCCTCCGTTTTAAATTATAAAATATTTTTAAAATAAATTTATTATTTTAAATACAAAATAATTTAAGAAAGTTAAAGTTTTATTAAATAAATTTATTTTAATATTATCTTTTTTTATATATTTAATACTCTCTCTATTTTAAATTATAAAATACTTTTAAATAAAATCTCACGTATCAATAAAACTTATTAAATATATTTTTTTGCATTACTTTTTTAAGATAAAAATATAAAATTTTAAAAATATTATTCATTTAATACTTTATGAATGAAAGAATATTGAAAAGAGAGAATATATAGCAAAGACAATATTAAAAAGTATTATTAATAAAATTTTATTTTTATCAAAATGTCTTATATTTGAAACGCTGAATTTTTTCTAAAAATATTTTATAATTCAAGATAAAGATATTACTATTTAAGTATAGATATAATGTTATTAAATGAAGGATATTTTTTAAAAAATAAAATTATTAAATTTATTAAATTATATTTATTGATATGTAAAATTTTATCTAAATATATTTTATAATTTAAGACCAAGGTAGTAAAAAATAAATTTTTGTGTAAGATCTATAGGAAACTCATTTTGCGTGTGGTAGTTTTTGGAAATGTATTAGGTGGATTAGTCCACAAACTTGAAATTAGCACCTTCTCATAATGTCAAAGCTTAAAACGACGTACGTTAAATGCTGTACTATCTTGTGACACCGGTAAACTTTGTCCCTCAGCAGCTACAAATTAGTGGGTTGAATGTTGAACTACTGTACCAACCACTAACAATGTGCATATATTTGTTGCATTGTTTTATATTTTACATAAATTATTTATATAAAATTAAGTAAATATTTTCTAATATTGATGTAAATAAAAAGAGATAGTGCTGGTAAGTGATTTTTTACCTAAGGTTGTATGAAGGACTGGACGAGACTTAATTTCGATCTAACTTGAACTCTAATTTCTTTTATAAAAAGGACTAATTTAGGCAATTCATAATCCAGTCTGATCCAGTGATAACCTAAAAATTAACAAGATCAAACTTGATCTATAGAATTAGGAGATTAATCCTGTTAATTTAATACTCACTTAGCTTTTTCTTTTTTCTTTATTGTCTATGAGAAACAATAATCCATTTCAAACTAATAAACTCAATTAAGATAATAAAAATATTTATAATCATAATAAATTCATAATATTTCATTTACAGTCCAAGTGATTTAGATTATTTAATTATTAGTTTGAGTGTGCAAACATGCAAGGAATTAGACTTATTAAATTATTAATAGTCTTAACTTATTATTATAAATAATTAGTAAATTAATTATAATTATATTAAATAAATTTAATAGGACTAGTCTTCTATCCAGTCCAACTTGAAAAGACAGTTTGATTTTTTTAGTCTTTTCAATCTTACAAGATCAGTTTTTAACAGGATCGGATTGAATCAAACCTTCTCAAATCAGATTAAATTAAACAAGAGTAAAAGACTTTTACACGGTCCCATTTTTACCAGAAATGGTAGGTGATAAAACCATCCCTTGGTGTATTAGAATTTGATGTTTTACTTTATTGTATTGTATATCAACCTGTAACTTTGAAACCACTTGATTAAGACTAATAAGTACAGAGAAAGACGACAAATCGACAACAAAAACACCGTTTGGCCTAAAATAATAATATCTTAAATCTGAAAAAATGTTTTGTACAAGTGTCCTTGAACGGGAAAGAGCCTCGTTTATGAACGTGATGAGAAAGCTTCTTCTTCTTTCTTTTTTGAAAAAATAACAATAAAATATTTTTAAATTATATAAAAGATAACTTAATATCTCAAAATACTATAATTTCACTAAAATTTCTAAAAATTTTCTATCACTAATAAATTTATATAAATAATTAATTATTTTTGTATCAATATCATGAATTTAATAAGTGAAGTTGTTATTTGCTATTATATTATTGTGAATATAAATTTTTTTTATTATTTAAATAAAATTTGTTATCATTACTTGTTATTTCCAACACTCATAGCAATATCAAAAATTTGACCTGTGAACTTATAATTTTCTGTTATATTGTTACGAATATAAGAAAGAAAATTGTAAATATTTAAACAAAACTTATAATCATTATTTATTATTTTCAACACTTGTAGTAATATCATGAATTTGACTTGTGAGACTGTGATTTACTGTTATATTGTGATAATTTTATTTTAAATAAGGACAATTTGATCATTTATATAAATTCATTAATGATAAAAAATTTTTTTTAAAGACTTCAGTGAAACTCTGACTTTTTAAAGATCAAATTATTATTTATATAATTTTAAAGAGTTTTATTATCATTTTCCCTTCTTTATTTTTTTCTTTTTTTTTTAAATTCAAAAGATGTATGAATTTGTTCTAGGTTGCTGCAACCACTGTATGATTACCCCGCCGGTTCAATGTTACGTACAACAACAACAAAAATCTTTTATGATTTAAATAATGCCATTTTAATATTTCAATAAGGTATTAAATATTTTGTTTCTTATTTTGCCTCTTATTTTATGTAGGAAGAATTATCATGTGGTCTGTGTGATTCCCAGAAATACTAAAATTTTAAAAATAATTTACATAAATAAAGAGATTTACTTAAACTCTAGAATGTATTGTTATTAAACAAAATAATTAAATGAATAAAAAATTTTGGCCAAAAAAATTAAATAAAATAATTAACTCATAAATTAAATTTAGAGATGCTACAAAACATAAAATTTAATAATATCATAATGCATAATAGCGAAAGTCATACAACACAACTTAATACCTCATTCAACAATTAGTGAGTGTTACTCATCTATTATATCAACAACTGGATTTTTATGGTTGGTATCAACCACAAAAATAAGAACCTATGTGTTCTACAAGTAATACCTTCACAATCCACAATCAACAAATACACATGTTTAAAATAAATAATGAATTTATAAAATGCATCTAGGATTTTGTTTCTCAATATGCTAAGATCAATTTATGAGTTACTTCACTTACATTGATATTATAAATGAATCTCAGAGTTACAATTACTCAGTTCAATCCTACTTTTCATTCAATCCATCCTCTCATGCTTTGTCTTCTTTTGAACCTACTCTCATAATTTGAACCACTACCAAGAAGAGTTAAAATCAATATATCAGGGTAACAATAATTTTTATCAAATAATTTGGTTTCACTTTTGATAGAAAAAACTTAATGAGATGGAACCTTTTCTCTTAAAATATTTTGAATTGAGTTAGCATCAGCCTTAAATAAGGGAGACACACTTGGTTAGTTGTTGAAAGACTTGCTACTTGATGCCGAAGAATTCTCTTTTTGTTGAAGTACACTAATTTCAAGTATTCCATTCTCATTCTTGGAGTTTGTTTCGTTACATCTTGCCTAGCAATTCCGTTTGGACTAGCCTTATTGTAGCGTATAAAAGCCTTAATAAAGCATGATGTAGAAACAATTTGAATATCAATGTCAAAAAATGTTCTTACAATGAGTATATATGTTGGGGGCATTACTTAAAAAATGTAATGTATAAAGCATAGATTGAATGTAAGGAAGCAAACCTTATTTACATCATGCTTTGTCAAAATGGTATTTGAGTCTCCGTATGCATTAATCACGTCACTAAAAATGAACATCATGAAAATAACTTGAATATCCCATCTTCAAAACTTCCCAACATCCCAAACAACATCAACATTCAACAACTTGTCCACCTTATCTACATATCAAAGCATTTTTCTTTTTCATTATTCTCTTACCCTCTTCACACAAAAACCTTCATCTCAAAATCAAGCGGCAAATATGGGTGTTACAAAACTTACTTAGCAACAATTGACTTGACTTGTTCGATCATAAAGAGCATAGGAAGAAAATCAAATTGCTAACTATATGGCCAAATAGGGGCTGTCTGCTCTTCATGGCTTTCATTTTGTCGATCATGTTCCTCTGGAGCTTCTTGTAATGTCCACCTTGACATTACCAAAATTCACCACACCATCACAACAAACAATCATAATTAGGAGCAAAGATTTGGCCCACATTATTCATATAAGGGTTAAAATTAATAATCTTTTAAAAATAATTGTGGAATATTTGGGATCCCATAAAAACCCTTTAAATTGATAGTTTGAGCTCAAACTTAATGATTTATATAGGCTTTGGAAGCATGGAAAAGTTTTGGG